AGTGAGATGTATAATCGTGACTTTTGAACACTTTTTAAAAATGATTATTTATTTTTAGAGAGAGGAGAGAAAGAGCGTGAGTGGGGGAGGGCAGAGAGAGAGGGAGACACAGAATCCAAAGTAGGCTCCAGGCTCTGAGCTGTCAGCACAGAGGCTGATGTGTGGCTCGAACTCATGAACTGTGTGTGAGATGATAACCTGAGCCAGGGTGGGACACTTAACTGACTGAGCCACCCATGTTCCCCTCTTTTATCCATTTTCTAATTGCATTCCTTCCTTCCTCCTTTTCTTTCTTTCTTTCTTTCTTTCTTTCTTTCTTTCTTTCTTTCTTTCTTCTTTCTTGTCTTTCTGTCTTTCTTTCCTTTTTCTTACTGTTGAGTTTTGAGAATTCTTTATATATACTAGGTACTAGTCCTTTGTTGGATATGTAGTTTGCAAATACTCTTTCCCAGTTTGTAGACTGGCTTTTCACCCTCTTCATAAAGTGTTTCACAGAACAAAATGTTTAATTTTGATGAGATCCAACTTATTAGCTTTTCCTTTTAAGGACTGCAGTTTTGGTGTCAAGTCTCAGAATTTTTTGCCTAGCCCTAGGTCCTGAAGATTTTCTCCTATTTTTTTTAAGTTTAATATTTTTATGGTTTAAAAGTAAGTCTATGATCCATTTTGACTTTGTGTTTGTTTGTTTCATCTATGATCCACTTTGAGTTAATTCTTGTATAAATTGTGAAGTTTAGTTGTGAGGTTCATTTCTTTTTCTTTTCTTTTTTTTTTCTGCATGTGGTGACCTAGTTATTCTGGCACCATTGGGTGAAAATCTAGTCTCTTTCCACTGAATTACCTTTGCACCTTTGTGAAACGCTATCTGAGCATATTTAAGTGGCTCTATTTCTAGATTCTCTACTTTGTTCCACTGATCTGTGTCTGTGCCTCCACCAAAACCAAAACCACACTGCTGCCTTGATTACTGTAGCTACATACTGAGTGAGCCTCAGTATCATGTAGTGTTTCCTCCCACTTGATTTTTCTTTGTTAAGATTGTTTGAACTATTTTAGGGCCTTGCCTTTCCACGTAACTTTTAGAATGAAAGTTATTCTATGTCTACAAAAAATCTTGCTTGGATTTTTTTAAAAATAACTCCATAGAGAGATAATTCATATACCATACAATTCACTCCTTTAAAGAGTGCAATTCAATGTTTTCTTCATGTATTCACAGGATCATACAATTGTGCAGAAAAGAGATAACATAGCAGTATTGAGACTGCTCTCCTTAGAAAGTCGTGCTTGCAAGATTGGCCCTTGTCTGGAGGCTGGGAACTTGGTTCCCAGGGTGTTCCCAGTCAACAGTTAACTGATAAGAGTGGTTCCCTGTGCCTAGACTCTTTGTGCAAACAATACAGTTTAGTTTTGGGGATCTGTCATTTTGGCACATGCTAGGAAGAATGTGCTTATGACCATCCCCCGATAAAAACTTTTGAGTGTAGAGTCTCATAACGGGCCTACCTGAACAGAAGCATCACACATGTGTTGCTGTATTTTTGTTGCACAGAGAAGTGCGCTCTGTGTGACCCCTCATGGGAGGGCAATAGCGTATGGAAGCCTCCAGATCTCTGCCTCTTTTCACCTTATGACTCAACTATCCTTACTAGGTCTCTGTAGTAAATTTTAGCTATGGGTACGAGTGTATTATTTCAGTTTGCCTGGTTTATCTGGTACCACTGGGACTCCCTGCTGGTACTGCCTTGGGGGACTGGAGGACTTTTCCCAGACTAGGTGGGGAATCTGTCTCTGTGGAGTAGGGGCTCCCTCTATTGGTGCTCTCCAGCTGCCTCTGGGTGGAGTGGGGACAGAGGTTTCCTGGACAAGGCCACTTGCTATAGCTGGGTCTCTCTTGACAGATTAGCTCACACTCCTTAGTGTATCTTATGGTGGAAAAGGGTGTCTCAGACCCAGCGAGTAAGGAGAGTGCTTTCCCTAGCTGTTTATTTTCGGTGGGACTCTCTCTTGCTGCCCCTTGCTTGATTATTAGAGGGATGAGAGGAGAAATGGGTCTACCTGGATGCCGTGTCTTGCTAGGTAGGGGGCTGGGACACAGTGGGCCTGGGTGGGTGGGGGAAGATGCAGGATGCCCTACCGCTGTGCTGGTTGTGCAGTCCTGGGGTCCTCAACCAGCTCGCTTTCCTCTTGCCACCTTTCAGAGTTTTTATTCATTTGCTTCTTGCATTATTTCCAGGGTTCATAGTTGTGCTTAGCAGGGAGGAGCAGAACAAAATGGATCTATGCCATCTTTTGGTCCCCATCAAAAGTCCCTACCATCATATTTCGACTCATCATATTTTAATTTGTTAGGCACCATCATATAATCAAGCATTCCAATCACCAGTAAATTAATTTATAATATATACATGGTCCGCTTTCAGAAGGTTTCTGAGGCAGCTAGAATGATGTAGAGTATACACAAGAGAGTGTAGATTCACTTTTCCTTGCTGCTCCCCTCTAATGCGAATACATACACCAGAAATTTGTCAGTGAAAGCTGGAAAGAAGGTGGACTGCCCAGAGTGGCAGTGTGACAGTGTGGTGAGTGCCCTAGGTTTTCTTTTTATGTTTCATGTATATCTGGACTGGATACTGGAGAGACCTGTAATCCAGAACTGTCAGCAGGCATAGATATAAATACCAAGAACAATCTGCACTCTCTGAACAAAGGACTAGAAGAGGGAAGCCTAATAGAGGCCTATAGGGGGCTGCAGCCCTTGCTCTTGGAGCACTTGGCTGACTGTTTTTTTCATATTTCTGTTCAAAAGGCATCTTCTCAAGGAGGCTTCCCATGACTCCATTCATTGTCTTCAAATAAATCTTGCTATTGTTCCTTTTTTATTGTCTTACATCTTTCCCACTAAAACTGACAAGAGGGAGACCTTGTTTGTCTTGCTTACTGCTTCATCACCGTAACTAGAACAGGGCCCGACTTACTGTAGGAACTCAAATATTTGTTGAATGAACAAATAAATGAACGGATAAGTTCTATAGTTTTCATTACTCGAAAACTGGAGAAATGAAGGTTTTATTTTGAGACCCAATTTTGTTGCACAGGTCCTTATAGAAAAGATACAATGAAATAGAAGACATTTTCATCTGTATATTTCATAATTATTAACAGCAATATATCATTAATTATATTTCTACATTCTAAAATATATATTTAGTATTTCTTTTTTTTTTAAATTTTTTTTAATGTTTTATTTATTTCTAGGAGAGAGAGAGAGAGACAGCGTGAGCAGAGGAGGGTCAGAGAGAGAGGGAGTCACAGACTGAAACAGGCTCCAGGCTCTGAGCTGGCAGTCAGCACAGAGCCCGATGCAGGGCTCGAACCCACGAACCGTGAGATCATGACCTAAGTGAAAGTCGGATGCTTAACCGACTAAGCCACCCAGGCGCCCCTATATTTAGTATTTCTAAAAATGTGGAGTTGGTAAGGAGATTACTTTAGATTTTAGTGCTTAAAAATATCTCTTAATTGGCCAAGACTTTACAGAGTTTATCAATTATTAAATATTAATAAATATGCATTGAACACGAAAAGCACCTGCTGCTGGGCCTATTCATGGATAAATCAATGTTACCCTTGTTTTTACCTGTATCCCCCGACAGTCTTCCTTTTCCTTGTTGAGGATGAAGCCTCCTTCTTTCCCCATAAAGACCAGTTCCAAACCTTCTGTCTGTGACATTGACCCAGAGACCTCAGGACACTAAGGACCTCTAACTGCGGCTAAGTGCCAGCCATGTCATGCTGTGGGGCTCTCCAAACTGCCTGCTGGGTGCTCTGGGGCAAACAAAGAGTCACGGGCTCTAAGTCCAGTGTTTCAGGAGCATAGGGGTCAGCAAGCGGGAGAATACATTAGCACAAGCAAAGCTCTAACCCTAACTGAAATAAATCTCCTATCTATTCCCTTCCCTAACTTCTCTATTTTTTTGTTGATGTAATTTTTCCAACTTTGTGACTAATTGATGAATAAGACATTTAAGAGGAAGAGCTGGTTGGAAGAAAAATGTGATGACTTTATTTGAGGTTAAGTTTGAGGTTTTGATGGGACAGGCTGGGCTGAGTCATCTGCGCTTCCTTCTGTTGACACTGACTCAACCAACTGAAGACCCTGCCTTGGAGAGATCTTTCTGATCCGCCTCCTGTTTGGTCCAGGAGCTCATCTGAATGAGCACTGCAGCTTCAGAACCATCTTGAGGCTGACTCTTTCTTTCCTGATCTAGTTGGGGATGGCTTTGGGGGTCACACTTTGTGCAGATTCTATCTATTGGTATCATAGATTGAAACAAGGAAGTCAAGAGGCAGCAATGATTTGGAGGGAGATTAAAAGTTTAGATTTCTACATACTAAGTATGATGTGCCAGTGGGTCACCTACATGGAGATGTCCAGTAGACAGCCCAAGAGGAATGGCTGGGAGGTGGGAGAGAAAAAGCCATCAAAAATGACTTAGGGGAGGAGTCATTCATAAGGGCGTGGTGATAGGTGAAGGATAAAGAAGGATAAAATATCTTGGGGCCAAAGGTTGGAAAAGCACCATTTGGTTGGGTCTCAGGAAAATGTCTGCATATAAGGGGAGGAGAGAGATTGGAGACCCAGAGGGGTTGCTCTGGGGAAGAAATTGGATGAAAACAGTCTTGAGAGCTAAAGAAAGTTTTGAGAAAGAAGTGGCCAATTCCATCAAATTTTACGGAGCAATTGAGAAGAACAAAGATGCACTCAATGAAAAATGGCTCTGGCAATTGAGATGATAATTATAATGAAAAGTATCCAAGAAAATGAACTGGAAATGCCTTTCTCTGGCCAATGATGTCAGAGACCAATTTGCCGCCCATATCAAAGCCATGTTGACATGATGTGTGTGTTTCCATCCTTAAGAAGGATTAATAGCAGAACAACCAAAAAAAGCTGGATACTGACCCATTACCAAAATACCTAAATGACAGATACTAACCTGTGATACCTTTTTTCTCCCAGAAGGTAGCAATACTGGGCATAGAAGAAAGAACTTCTCTTGATACAGATTCCATCATAATGATACCTGAAAAATAAAGGTTGTCTTAAAGATTATGTCAAGCCGCCAGCATGCTTTACAGAAGCTACAGAATAGACTCGCTGATGAAGACTGAAGTTCTTCTCAGAGTTTTATCATTGATTCCATCTATTAGTTCTGTTACGTAGACAGTTTCCTACTACTTCATACACATCAGTTTTGAAACAGGCTTGCAAATGTTCTACTCTTGTTTCCCAATTTAGGACATTCTGGTCTTAGAGAGATGTGACAGGGAGAGCCTCCTGCTATCACTGCCATGAACCATTTTATTTTTATTTATTTTTTATTTTTTTTATTTTTATTTATTTCTAGGAGAGAGAGAGAGACAGCGTGAGCAGGGGAGGGTCAGAGAGAGAGGGAGTCACAGACTGAAACAGGCTCCAGGCTCTGAGCTGGCAGTCAGCACAGAGCCCAATGCGGGGCTCGAACCCACGAACCGTGAGATCATGACCTAAGCGAAAGTCGGACGCTTAACCGACTAAGCCACCCAGGCGCCCCTGCCATGAACCATTTTAATGTGAAGGGGAGTGATACTAATGTTCCCTGTACTGAGAACTGAACTCAAGTTCTCAGAAACCCAAGAGGGAAGTCGGTTCCTTCTCTCTAGCCCAGGCACTTTGCTGAGCTGGGAAACGTAGCTGCATGTCTAGGCTCACAGCAGCAGGACAAAACATTTTCAAATTAACTATTACCCAGTGTTTAGTTTGGCAAACACTTTGGCTATCTTCATTCCCTCATGAGTAGCAGGCCCTTTTCCTAATTTGGCTCCCGTCCCTTCTCACTGATTTCCTGATCTCACTGATTTCTCCTATTTTTCTTCATTTAGAAGAAACAACAAATAACAATAGTAATTGAGTGACAATTATAACCTGATGCACCTGATAACACTGGAATTTCCTTTTGCGTTAAAAATACATAGAATCTAGGTACCTGGTCTCCTGAAAATAATTCAGATATACTAATTAGATGAATACTTAGAAATTTTAGTTCAAAGAGTAATTAAAACAGTTCTATTGCTCTCTGTGTAATTATTTAAATATTTCAACAGTTAGACATTTATGTCTACACACTTAAATTGTTGAAACAAGAAAACATATTGTGACTTTCATATTTTTAACAAAATCACTAAGAAAATAGAAACTAATACTTCATTCTAGTATCACCTAAATTATTCCAGGCACTAGGATTTCATTTGAATTATGAGAATTCTTTGGTAATAGTTGAAAGTTATAGTTCATTTAGTTTTGCACTTTTTGTCACCCATTTTGTGATTTTTCAAAACGTCTGTCTTTTTTTTTTTTACTTTTTTTTTTTATTATTGAGAGACAGAGCTTGAGTGGGGGAGAGGCAGAGAGGGAGACACAGAATGAGCTGTTAGCACAGAGCCTGATGCAGGGCTCGAACTCACAATCTGCGCCATCATGACCTGAGCCAAAGTCGGACGCGACTGAGCCATCCAGGTGCCCCTGTCTTTTAACATGTCAAATAATACAAGAATGATAAACCTACCTGGCACTTCCTCTCGTGCCTAGCCTCCGGGTACCCAGATCAGGAAAAACCAAACGCACAAGCTGAAAGAATAAGTCAGATTGAAAGCTATGATTTGAAATTTTAGAAATAAAACAGTTTCTTCTCTTACAATGTTTACATTGTATTTCCTCTTTTTTATTGTAAATAAAATATATGCAAATGAAATTTGGAAAAATCAAACAAGTATCAAGACAAAAATATACCATTCAGAGGAAACCACCATTTAAACGCCCGTGTCGTTCCTTCTCATCTTTTTTTTCAAAGCCTCGATATGTGTATATGCTCTGTGGGTATACATGTGAAACAGCACATGTGCGGTTTTACTTTCTACTTTCTCCTCTCCACATTGTACCATAAACATTCCCCTTGTCATGAAGAATTCTCTAAAAACGGGATTAGCAGTAGCTGCATAATAGTCCATCATGTGAATTGCCATGATTTTACTATTTTCCTCTTTTTCCAGTGTGATAGTCATTTTCACTTTTAATTATTCATTTGTTTACCAATTTTTTTTCACTTTAAGGTTTTGGTAGCAAACGCTATTAAAATATTGAATAACATAGCTACTTCTGACTCAGCTTCTCATCTCCTGATTATGTTTGTGTTGTGTTTTGTTAGCACTGATCTATATTTATAATCAATTACATTAAAAATAGGCGTCTGTTCCATTTTCCTTATTAGAAGAGGTCCATGACATGTACAGTATCCAAATGCATGTCTGTCGAAAGTGGAAATCCTGGAGCATGGTGGAATTAGAAAAATACAGAGCATGGAAGGCACAGTGCTTTGAGCAGTCAAGTAATGATTTCTGCTACTTTTCTACAATTCCTTCCATAATCATTTAGCCTCTTTTTTCTGCTTAGTTTCTTGTGACATCCCTCTTTCTTTTTTTCTTAACTTTCAAATAGTAGGATTTGACAGTGTCTAAGGTTTCTCTGGTCTGGTTCCAGCCTTATCAGTTCCTACTGGAAGCCACCCAAACGTGGGGGGTGGAGGAGAAAAAGTGAAGAAATAGGAAAGGCAAGTCTTACACAACTGAACATCAAGGTTGTGAGGCCAAACTGAGAGGTTCCTTCAGGGAAGGGGGATCAAAATGTGCAGATGAAGAATAAATGATAGGAGATAAAAGAAAACATCAGCAAAGTCTAAAAATGCAGAATTAGGGGTCAGAAATTCCTATTTTCAACTACAGATTCTGAAAATCCCATCACCTCTTAACTCACTTAAAACCTTCCCTATATATTAAGTTGTAAAACAGTGAGTACCTAAAAGAATTATCATGTACTATGCAGCAGGCCTGAGCCCTGGGAAATAATCTAGTGTTTTAGAGGGAGAAGCAGAAATAAATTGCCTAGTTGTTGGCAGCATAAAAATATATACATTTTATTTAATTGAGTAATACTAACCCCAGACTATTCTGTGATTCCATTTTATGATCAGGTACATCAGTTAAAATGTAAAAATCAACTGAGATGATTATTTCCAAAAAAAAGTAATAAGTAAAAAAAAATGTTTGTACTTAATATACAGATATCTCACATAAATTAATAAATTACTTAATATACAGATATCTCACATAAATTAATAACAATATCTCAATAGAAAGTGGTCCAGTGATAATATGTATACACAAAAGATACATATGGCCAAAATGCATGTAAAAGTGCTTATCTTCCCTAGTCATCCAGTAAGCACAAGTTGAAACAGCTAAATACAGTTCTTAACCAACAACTTTTCTAGGTTAAAAATATTAGGGATTTGGGATATCAGGAACTACCACGAGGATTGGGAATTGGTTACAATTCTAAAATGTCTCCGAGGGAAGTTACCAGGTACAGATGGAAGCTAGGAAAGACAAAAGTTTATAAACAACCTAAATTTCCAATAATAGAAATGGTTAAATGAATTCTGGAATATCCACAAAGTATTTTGTACCATTATACAACATTTATTTTAAAATATTTTAATGTGAAAATGCTTATGATATTCTGAGAGATAAATAAGCATGTAATTATAAAAGATAATTATTACTTGAGTGCTTCCTATGTGTTAGCAATTCTCAATTCTTTTTACATGTGTTCTCTCATTAATTTCTTAAAAGTGTCTCATAAAGTAGGGACTATCATTAACATTATGAATTGTTTCATTTTACAGTTGATGATGTTGAGGCACAAAAAGATAAAAAAACTTGCCCAGGGTTAGACTTAATTAGGTGGATTCCAGGCTTAGGGCTGTTAAAAAGCATACCATGTTGCAAAATCAACAACACAAGAAACAAGTGTCGGTGAGGATGTGGAGATAAAGGATCCCTCTCTCACTGTTGGGAGGAATGCAAATTAATGCAGCCACTTTGGAAAACAGTATGGAGGTTCCTCAAAAAGTTAACAATAGAGTTCATAGCAGCACTCAATAATAGCCAAAACATGGAAAGAGCCTAAGTGTCCATCAATGGACGAATGGATCAAGAAGATGTGGTTTATCTATACCATGGAATACTACTTGGCAATGAGAAAGAATGAAATCTGGCCATGTGTAGCAACATGGATGGGCCTTGAGGGTGTTATGCTGAGTGAAAAAAGTCAAGCAGAGAAGGACAAATATCATATGTTTGCACGTATAGGAGGATTAGGAGGAACTTAATGGAGGACCGTGGGGGAGAAGAAGGGGGGAAATGGTGGAGGAGAGGGAGAGAGGCAAACCATGAGAAACTCTTGAATGATGAGAACAAACTGAGGACTGATGGGTGTGGGGGCGGAGGGGGGAAATGGACATGGAGGAGGGCACTTGTGGGGATGAGCACTGGGTGTTATATGGAAACCAACTTGACAAAAAGTATTTGTAAAAAAAAAAGTTAACAATAGAAATATCTAATGATCCAGTAATCACACTATCAATAATACTTGTCCCTAAAATACAAAAACATGAATTCAAAGGGATACATGTACTCCTTTGTTTACTACAGCATTATTTACAATAGCCACAATACGGAAGCAGTCCAAGTGTCCATCGATAGAAGGATGGATAAAGAGATGTCTCACACACACACACACACACACACACACAGGAATATTATTCAGCCACAAAAAGAAAGAATGAAATCTTGCCATTTGCAACAACTTGGATAGAGCTAGAGAGTATAATGCTAAGCAAAATAAGTCAGAGAAAGACAAATACCATATGATCTCACTCATATGTGGAATTTAAGAAACAAAACAAAGAAGCAAAGGAAAAAAGAGAGGGAGGGAGAGAGAGATACAAACCAAGAAACAGACTCTTGACTATAGAAAAACAAACTGATGGTTACAAGAGGGGAGGTGGGTAGAGGAATGGAGGAAATAGGGGATGAGAATTAGAGAGTACACTTATCATCACAAAAAAAGAAGAGAAAAACTATACCATACTGCATGCTATCTATCCACCTATCCATCCAGTCTGTGCGCACCCATCCATACATCATTGTTCCAATCCATCAATCCATGTAGGATCCATACAATAGGATGAGGCATGAAGGTAACAGGCAACAGATAGCAAAGTGAATTTTGAGATGCACATTTGAGAGGACTTGCATTCTCAGGCATATAGCTAAAACTGGGTTTTAAAACCCTAAAAAGCTCTCAACTCAAATCACTCATAAGGTAGAGAGAGGAGGGGTAAGGCGATTTCTTGTGGCAAGACCCTGTTACCTGTCTGTGAAGGGTGTGGGGGACAGGCTGTGGCTTAATCACCTCAGGCCTAGCAGAATGGAATTCATGATTCACTTGAGGAGCTCTTTGTGAGGCCCCTGCAGTTAGCATCTGGCTATAGCCTAGGACTCCTGATAGACTAGAGTTGGGCTGGCCAGTGGGCTTGGTGGACAGGAGAGGAGAGTGGCTACCACCCTGGTGTCAGCCGGCACACCCACAGTCTATTCAGGCCAAGAATGGTTGAGTAGTTGCCATGGCCAGAAGTTGTCTGCAAAAGAGCTGACATGTGGGAGAGCCTAGACTCTGCCCAGCAAGAGGCCCCCAGAATGGGTAGCCAGGCTTCTGAAAGAGTCAGAATCATTCACCAAGACAAGGAAGGCATACTGTAACATTCCCATGGTCTGCTCTGAAGAAGCCACCAAAGGGGCTAGGGAGCCAGAGTCTGCCTGGCCCCCAAAGTGTGAAGCTGAGGAGTAGGAACTTTCTAGCCATTTTTACTTTCCCTGCTCCCAGAGGGGTCAAACCATCCCTAGCGAGTTTCAGGGAGTAGGGGCAGGGAGGGAAGGAGAAGCCCCCATGCCTAGCTCTCTGCAGGCAAGAAGCCATCCTGGAGGGATGGGGAAAAGATTCTACTTTAAACCCAGTTCAGTCTGGATGTCATATAGAACTGGACATTCTAAGCATCAAACTGATATTACGTGGTAAGTTAAGAGTGACAACGGGGCTCTGTATCACCCAATGATTTCTAGAGAGGTCATTCTGCCCACTCATGGGCTTTTTTAGGAGGGGAGGAAGAACCACTCAATGAGCAGGTTCAAAGCACCATGGGAGACACAGACAAAGCCACTGTGTGATTAGTGCCTCAGCTCATGCTGCTCACGTGTATGTGCATGTGTGCACAAACATGCAAATAAACTGTGCATGTATGGCTAAGTCTGTGGACAGTGAGGTTATAGTGGTATTTATTTTCCTCTTTTTTATACAGCTTTCTCTAAATTTCATATTATCTATAAAGGGATTATAATACCTTTATGATCAGAAAAACATCAGTAAATGTTATTTTTAAAAAGGAAGTCAGTGTTATGGAAATTCCCTCACCCATGTGAGATAACACTTGCAAGAATGAGCATTACCCATCATGTGCCCAGGGCTGCCAAAAGAGCAAGAAACATTCCGACATCTGCACAGGAACTTGATGTGGAGTCTGGAATCAACTACACTCCCGGGGGAGGAGGGAGGAAATGAGAATTGGGTATTTTGTTGTTTCTCTTGTAAACATGCTTTGGGATCATATCCTTTTCCCCTTCCTCTACCTTGTCCATTAGTCAAATTCAGCAGCAAGTGTCCCTTTCCAACTG